AGTATAGCGCATTGATATAATAGGTAAGGAAGCCAGACCTTCAACTCATTGATATGATTGCCGTCGGATAGTTTTATCTGTTATGTTCGTCTTCCAGTATAGTCAGGTCCGAACTCAATCTTGAAAAATACCTATAGCGATTGGTACGTACTTAGTCACATTTGTTCTGCACATAGGTTGCTTTTAACCTACGTTAATAGTCCTTAGTTTACGAGGGTTACGCTCCTAGACACACAGGGCATTATTGCCTATAAATACCTATCTAAATACTGTCCGCAAAAAACTTCAAGTTAATCTAAAATGGACGTTATAATTTTACAGTATAGTACACCTTAACCTAAAAAGTACTGTAATAGAAAGTAAATACAGTATGTATATGTACCGCTCACCACCTTGTACTCAACTGAGTCTTCGCTGGCATGTGGAACTCTCGCGAGCACATTTTCTATGAGCTTATGAAGACTTCGCTGCCATTTTCTTTGATTAAAATCGGGTATTGCTCGATAAAACTTCGCTACAATCGCACTTACCCAGATATGTACCATAAATACATAACAAATAACTTAAATGTTAAGGCAATAACAAATACAGTGCTACATTCGATATAGTAAAAATATATAATTTTCTGCAATATGTACACGGCTACTTACTGAATTTGATGTTAATTTATGAACACAAAACAAACTATGATGACAGTTACCACATAGCAGAAGTGATTATTGAAATTTCCCTGAACAAATGTGGAGGTAATTCTATAAAACATGCTTCTTCTGGTTTATGTGCAAGAGCCGTAGATTCCGGTGGGACTTGTTTCGAAATTTATTGGTAAACCCATGGAGCATTGTTATCGACTGAAATAGCCTAGTCAGGTCATTGGTTACTTCAAATTCCCGAAGCATGCCAGGATCTCATAAACCAACCTCCGTGTGCGCACTCCTTGCCGTACATTTAGCTTCATTTTTACCTTATTATTTATTGTTTTGCCTCAGACCTAGTAAATTTTACGTACTGCATTAAGTAACTTATTAAAAAAAATAAAAATATCAGGCTTTCGGTAATGCTCAATATTTCGTAACTTAACAGTTTTGTTATTGAAAAGAAAGAAGGTCTCCGGAAAATCGAGTTGTGCTCGTGAATTGTCAAGCAAGTAAGAATTGTCCCTCGTCAGACTAAACGAAGA